CTTGTCCTGCGTAATAGCATAACCCATTGATGGCTATGCAGGGCTTTGGAGCTGGCAATGTGTGTGTCACTCCCTGCCCACTTGGAACTTCCAGGCGAGGCTTGAACATAGACCCTCCTGTTCCTAAAGCCATAGGTTCCTGCCAGTTGAGCTAAAGGAGAATCTCCATTAACTATTATTGGTATGGGATTTATGACACACACACATAAGTGAACAGCTTAGGTTCTACATGAGTTGGGAAAGTGGTTAGTTCAGTACCGCACTTGGTATGTCCAGAGCATCTCTCGGCCAAGGACTTCCAGCATAGCATATTAACTACTTAAACCCCACAATACCCTAAGGAAGTAGATAAGGAGTACGTAGGGCACTACCTCCAGGGTGAGGTACAGCACCTCTAACAGCATATCACGACACTACGCAATGGTTAAGATCAGGAAGGAAGACAACTTCCTCATTGTACTGTATCCAACATACTGTCTATTACCAAAAATCCCCATGCAATGTTTGTATGATTTAGAGTGTTTGACCAGAAACACAGGATTAATCCCAATTTGCATAATTACATCTCACCTCCCAAAATTCCTCCTGTAGTTTTAAGTGACTCTTCCTCACTTCCTGTTCTGAAATGCTGCATGATGTGGGTGTTAAACCCAGAGGTGGCTGCACTATCGCATACAGCACTTTGGGATGAGAGGCACTACGTAGCTGTAAGCAATTGGAGATAGGTCTGACCCAGAAGTTCAGATTCTACCACCCCCCTCCTTTGGGACCGTCTAGATCCAGACCTAAACATTGCTTCTCAGATGCACCGTCACAGGGTAGATACACCCTGTCAGGTCGCATGTGACAAATAAGGGGTTACAGCTCAAGTGGCTAGAGTAGATATGGCAGAGTAGTGCGGCCTAGCGGCCAGAGTCCTTGAGACTGCCCTTGCTCCCAAGGCAGCACGGCCTAGTGGTGTGGGGCAGGGTAGGGAGCCCCAGACTCACCCTTCTCTACAGGTCCTGACCCAGGGCCCTGTGAAACCAGTAGTCCGCAGCTCCCGCTCAGTTTCCTATTTTAAGTGTCACATTCCCTGGGTGGCTTCCTACCCTTGGTTCCTGCTCTGTCAGTTCTCCTGGGGTGTCAGCCTTCCGGCTCACTCTTGTCCTCTGGGGTCAGCAGGGGTTCCACCATCGATCCCAATGGCTTGGCCTTCGCGGTCTGTAGCCCTAGCAACTCCCTGGCAGGAGCCTACACGTCATGTCTGTTCTGTGTCTCCAGGTTGAGCATGCCCAGCAGGGCCGAGGGGGCATGGCCTCTTCAGCCCACAGTGTGCGGTTAACCCCAGCTGGGTCAATGCAGGGTAGATACACTCCATCACACGCACCTAGAGCCATGTTTATCATGGCACCATGTCAGTGAGGCGTCATAGCAACTCCTGAAGCTGAAGGCCCAGAAGGACAGTACGCTGTCGTATTGCGTAAGGATTTTGCTTAGCAATTGAAAGGCTTCCAAACTAGCTCTTACTCACAGCACTTTGACTGGGACACAGGCTGAATTCCAAGTGCTGTTCCGGACTGCTTTTACTAGCATATTCATAGCCGTCCAGTCTCACGTGGCAACACTGGCAGGTTCTTATACCATGGGCAATCCGTCTCTTTAGCTAGGTGTCTTTTAGACTCATCACTATTCACACAGATCCTCGTGCAAAACAGAATAGATTCCCTTTGGGACGTCAGCTGAGGCTTCTCTTGCTCCACCCCCCACCCTTTACTAGGGGGCTCCTCCCAAAGAGGTGGAGTTGAGTTATGGGACCTATCTCCCCTTATTATAGTCACCCCATATTTATGATGTTTCACGCCTTTGATTCTCGCAGCATGGGAAGCAGAAAGATCTTCCTGCAATGTAATTTGGAGTATGTGTATTCTTTGGATCCTGGTCTCACTCTCCAGAAGTGGTAGAGGGAGAGAAGAGAAGGGTTCTGGGTACTTTGCTTTCGTCCTGAGGTGCAGTGAGACCTTTCATTGGCTTTCCACCCCCTCCCTGGTGTAGAGACACCGATCACGGTCTTGTGATAAGAGCGTCATTGCCGGTGAGATATAAATAAGCAGCAGACCGGGGTCACTGAGTCTGTGTCTTACTCACAGCAAATGTGTCAGCCAAAGTTCTTCAGGCAGGAAACGACGTTTCCCCCCTTTGTCTGTCTCGCTGTCCGCCCTTCCTAGAGGTGTCTGTACAACAGGGTATTACCACATCTCTCTCTCAGTTCTCCTCCTCTCCATTCTCTTCCACCTGGGAGAGCCAGACATACCCACGTGTATTGTAGCACTGGCATCTCCTCCAGTTGGGATCCATTTGTGTCCTGCCATCATAGCTTGGGAAGTTTGTGCTAGGCAGAAAGAGATAGGTTACAAATGTGTGCTGTGGTTTAGCAGCTTTGGAATGATCACAACGGTTTCTGCTGCAATGTCCTAGGAAAGCTCCGTCTCCTAGCTCTGCGTCAGGACTTTGGAGCAGCCAGAGAGTGAACAGCTTTCAAAGAATTCACCCCCGGCTTCACCTGAGAACCAGCGCATTCTTGAGAGCGGAACACATCCTGGATGTGTTGAGTCATGCCGGTTGGGGTGCCCATGTTCAAAAAGGCAGCTTGTTTTTCACTTTCTTGAGTCTTGGAGAGGAGAATGGGCTAGTGGTTTGACCAGGGGACTGGGAGTCAGGATCTCTGGGTTCTGACACTAGCTGCTGTGTCACTATATGTTCTATGGGTGCTTGGCACGTCACAGCCATGGTGGGAAGAGAACCCAGCTCCACTTCCTCCAAAAGCACAATCCCCTAAGCCTTAGCAGGCAGCACTATAAGGACTATGACACATTGTGACCATGTCTGATTCCCTCCAGTAGAGGCAGAAATGGAAATACTTAAATTAGCCACTTCTGTCGCATGCTGTGAGAACCGCAGATGAAAAGTACAAGTGATTATTGTTAGTGTAGTCGATTCAGGCCAAGTTTTTGAGAAACAGGGATTAAGGCTGGCAGGGTTGGGAGTACTAGTAAAAAGCACTATATAAGAGATAGGAATCATTGTACTGGCCTCCTGCCGGGGTGGGTGGGTGTCAATTTCCACCCCGTGGTGCAGTTTTTATTTATAAACCATATATGAGACCTTTTTCTTTCTAAAGATTTCTAAATTTCAGCTGTCTTTCCTTAAAATAAAGGCAAAACAAATTATAAACGCATAACTAAACCACAGCTCTGCCAGTCAGGAAGCAAACAACCAGACTAAGAAACCCATCTGGCTAGGTGGCATCCTGGGTGGGCACCTTCCTAAATGTTTCATGAATGGCATTGTTACTGGGCTCGAGGTGGGGGGGAAACCGAGGCAAATTTAAAAAAAAAAAATCAACTCTTCCTTCAGTTGCGGGGAAGTAGAAGGGGAGGTGGGATGGTTATGGGGAGGACCACCTCCAAGGTCAGAGCCCGAGTCAGTCATCTCTCTCACAGGGAAGACTATGTCAAAGACGAGCAGCAGTTGGGTTAACCCTGGCGTCTGGCTTCTCTGGCACCACGAGGCGTGTGGTTTCAAACCCCGTCTGCCTCCCTACTGAACAACAATGCAAGCCAAGAGAGAGAAAAAAAACCCAAATCCCCTTAAAGGGTACCTTGGAGCTTATTTCCTAACATTAAATAGCAAACGATGCCCCAGCTGATATCCCCCGTCG